AACATATAACCATAATGTTTGATGAAGTTCATAAGTAACACGATAGAGAAGGAACAAAGCGCAATTAAACTGTAACTCTGGGATAAGACTTTGGGAACCATTTTTATGGTGCATGCACATGAAGACTTGCAATGGAAATGGAAATAGGCTTAGATGGATGCAAAGGAAAAATAGTGCTGATTGTTACTGAGGGTGTTCTAATTGGTTAGAAATGCTACATCTGAAGGCACATGGCACAGTACACTTGAGGAACTAAAAGAGACTTATTCCACCTGAAGACTTAACTAAACGGTCTCAAGCAGAGAGAGTTGAGGCTTGTAGTGGAGCTCTTTGGATGTGTGACAAGAGATTTAGGGATGTGAGGGTACAAACTTTTTAGTAAGAATGGTGGGAAGATAAATGGTTTCTAAAAGGACGACCTGGTTTCTCTTCTGAACAACATTTTGTTTTCTCAGGAAATGACGGTGACTGAATACAATTAGGAAAAGAGAGTAGTTGTTGATTATAAAAGCTCTTGCTGGAAATAATAATTACTGTGCTTAAAATTAACCAAAATTAGGAAAATATTCTCCCTAAATACCAAACAACCTGCCTGAATGGCCAAATGAACTTTACCTTTGCTGAACAGGCCAAGTTGTAAGACTACAAGCACTGCACTCAAATGAAAGCCCTCTCTCCAAGCATAGAGAAGAAGGTTTTGGTGGGCTTCAGCCTCTCCTGCCCTCACTGTCTAGATTCTGTCTTCTTCTCTTTATCACTACTGCACCACTGGGAAGGTTCCAACTCTCTGTCTCATCTCCATTTTTATTCACGCCCCCCAAAATGCTGTAAATCTTTAAAAAATTTCAAGTCTTTTCAAAAATTCCATTCTATGTAAGTAGTTTGATGGTGTCTCCTTGACTAGCCAGCACAGCTAGGATCTCTGTCACCCAAATCTGGACAGCTATCCTGTGGGTCTGGGCTTCTTCCCACTTCATCTCCTGCCAGGACTCCTCCTCCAGGTGCAATCTACTTGCTTCCGGTTCCTTTCAGATTCTCCTCCACACATTCTAATCAGAACAGAATGAATTCTTCCATGAAGTCTCTCCAGGCAACTCAGGCTAAATGCATCCTTTGTGCTTCCGGTTTCCACAGCATTATGGTAATTACACCTTGTATTCTGCCCGGACCACTGTGTTTGTCTTCCCAGTAGATTACTTATGTTTGAGAGTGGGGATACTGCAGTCTGTTTGCTTTCTATGCACCTACTCTTTCCATTTGCCTTCTAATTCTTTCTGAATTAAAGTGATCAGCTACAACTGCAACCTATAACCATGATCCCTAAATTAAGGAAGCTAATATGTTTAATTAAGAGTCTAGAAACCTCAGGCAGCAAGAACAATGTATAGCATAGTATGTAATCCTAGAGGAATAATACTCAAAGATTCGAAACACTTTTAAAAACTAAATCATCGGGTCCATATGGTGTCAGTCAGTGCCTTGGATGAAGATGGAGAAATACCACCTAGATGTTTGTGCCAAGTTTTTGTTGTCATACCTGAGTATGATTCTTCAACAAATAAATGTTTCATCTAAAGAATAAAAGAAACACATCCACCTGTAATCTGAGAGTGAGGGAATAGTATTCTCACTTTCTAGTTCTTTAAACTAAAGCACAGAAACATGAAGTAACTTGCTTTGGGATTCAGAGAGGGTGAAAGTGAGATTTGCACGCAGCCGTCCAGTGTCAAGCTCACATTCTAAATTGTGAACTATGCTGGGGTGAATTTCTTTCACATTGTAGAGCTAGAGGCTTTATGAAGTCAGGGATTATCTATGGCAGCCATTCTTGCATCTTAGAGGCCTGTCAGAGGATTTTGCAAGAGATCATAGATTCTTAAAGTTAGCTGCCCTTTGTCTGTTATATAGATATAATAGTTGGTAAAGAATAAATAAAAACAGATTATACTCAAAAAATGTACTACAGATTGGGGCTGGAGAGAATGCCCACTGGTTAGAGAGCATACTGCTCTTGCACAAGACACCCATTTGTTTCCTAGCACCCATACTGGATGGTTCTTAACTACCTATAACTCCAGCTCCAGGGACCCCCTCTTCTGTCTTCCACAGGCACTTCACTCACACGCACATACTCACACACAGCCACACATGCATATACATAATTAAAAATAAAAATAAACTTTTAAAAATTACTACAAGTCAAGCTGTATTTTGAATAAATTATCTCACTCTATCAGTATAACGACACAGGATTCATCTAGGGTACTCAGTATATGTCAGGCACCCTTCTAAATGTTTTCCATAGAATAAATATCAAATATCACACAAATTCTATTCTAAAGGTATTATAATTGCAAACACTTTAAAAATGAGAAAGTGAATCTCAAAGGGGTTAAGTTGGGTAAGCACACAAACCTCATCCACCTAATAAATAACTGAGGAGGGAAATAAACCTTTCCATCCAACAACAAAGTGTGTTCTCAACCTAGATGCCGCACAACTATCCAAGGAGCGAAGCCTCCTCAAAGGCCTTCATGCTGCCCAAAATGATTAAAACACACACAAAATTTTTGAACTATTTATGCATTTGACAGAAAACCACCATGATCAAATGAAAGCTGTTTTCAAGAATGGCATACCTGATGTTATCAGCTGATTTTACCACATAAAGAATGCACTCTACCACCAGGTATTAAAACACAAGATAGGAAGTATGGGCATTAAGGTAGATCTGCTCTCTAAAATTAATCTCTAAGATTCTCTCACAGTGAATGGACAAGATGGTATTGAGTGAGAAAGTAATAACCCACATCTGTCAGTACGGAGCTGGGATACATGGCACGTGAACCATCAAGAACCACTAGAATAACAAGAACCACTATGAAGTCACCAATGGTACCTGCAGTATAGAAATTCTAACTTACCATGTACCAAGATCTACAACCATTCCTCTGCAAATGGTAACAAACACAGTAGCATCTTTTACAAGTCCCAAATACTATGATGGTGCTGGGAACCCAAGACATACAAGACATGTGCTCTACCACTGAGCTATATTCCTAGCCCTATGACAGCATTGCAAAGATTTGTTAAATTCCTTATTACTTGCAAAGCCAAATTCTCAAACTCCCAGACTTTTCCCAGAGATGGTTTATATAATCTCCGTATAGGGAACTCCAAAACTGACAAGCAATTTTTCAACAAGAGTGGCAACATTTCAAACATTGTTATCCAGGGCTGTAGATACAGTGAGTTTATGGTGCAGGCTCTGGAAAGAGTAGTACAATATGAATTATTATTCAGTTGTTTGAAGCAGTTAAATAAACATTCATTAGCTATACACACGAAGATCACAGAAACACAAACCCAAATGTCAGCAGAGGCTCATTCATGTGGAGTAGATAAGGAGGAGTGTTTACTTTATATTTTACTACAATTTGTATGTTGTTGCATAAATTAGTATTATTTCTGGAATTCATACAAATAACAAAGATTTTCAAAATATTAGGACTCTTGAAGTGTATATACACTTATAGGCTTGCAACACTGGATATCAATGTTTAAAATGTTACCATTCTTGTTGAAAAACTACTTGTCAGTTTTGGAACTTAATAATGGGACACTCAAAATAAAGTTATTATTTTTTAAATCCCTAAAGTTAACTTGTGCTATCTTATGTGCTTATAACCATGATTGAGGATAAAATGTCCTGTGAAATCTTTACAGTAACATTCTAGTTAAGGGTGGTACCTTCCTGGTGTGTTCAGAACATTCTTGGATATGTAGGCCCATAAATAGAGAGTCAAGAGAAGAAGGGAGGAGAGGGCAAATTGGTCTTTCAATTTCCACTCTGCTTTAAAAAGTGAAAAATTAAGTTTACTAGAGAACCCACAGGTCTCTTCTGTCTTCCACCCCTGCCCCTTCATGTGGAACCAGGGAACCTGACAATATGTGGTTCAGGGATTCAGACACTTATTTAGATGGCTTGGGTGGAAGTGTGAGACTACAGGCAGGCTGGTGAGAGAGCAGGAGCCTAGGCACTGTTATGAATAAATGCTGATAGCTGAGACAGAGGAATATAGTACATACTTGTGAAAAGAACAGTCACAGGTAAAATAAGTTGTTAAACAGGTAAAGTGCCTAAAACCCAAATAGGAAATGCTGCCATCATCAGTGAGGTTCACTTCACAGACAGCATCCCATGAAATTTGGAGTTCCCATACACTGCATTGCCCAGTCCTTGGCCTGGGGTGAAAACTAAGATTGTTTGCATGTTGGAAAGGAGTTCTTTAACTGAGCTTACAGATAGCCTTAAAAATAGACCCATCAGATATGCAGTATTATAGCTCTACAATCTTGTCATGTACTGGTTCATTCCCATTAGACACTGAATGACAATCAACCCAAATTTCATCAAATCTTCCCGAAGAAAGATTCTTAAGTCTTTAAAAATAATATATATAAAGTCGTCCCCAACATAACCACCGGGACATGTCCACTCCCAAAATGTCTCTGGGAGAAGAGGCAGAAGGAGAATGGAGCAAAGGCCATGGGGTGCTGCTCCTTACCCAAGCACCAACCCCAAACCTCTACAGTCCATGAACATTCATTCACGTGTCCTGGCTTGGGCCCAGGTCACTAAAAACCTCCAGGGAAACCTCCCCCTTGCCCCAAGAGATCTTGGAATCACGTGACCAGCGACAGCCACCAAAGCTTTCTCAATACCCAAAACAAATGCAACTTCTATTTTCCTTTCCTAGGTGCAGGGCTTGCATATTCTATCCCTCCCGCATCCTTCCGTCTAACCTTTCTTCTCTGTTCCACCTGGGCTGAGGGAGGCCTCAATGGATCAGCCTTCAATACTATCAGGCCTGAGCGTCAAGAACTCAGCGGCTCCGGACCCACGCCTTTCCACCCGCGCCCCAGGGAAGCCGAGACTCCTCCTGCGGGATAGCGGCCAAGTGTGGAGTGGGCATCCGGAGCCGGGCGGAGCAACTTACCGGTGCCCGGCTGCGCGGCATCCGCCGCATGCCAACTGCAGGTCCCCTACGCGCCGGGGCAGCGCTGTCCCGCGCCGCACTGCCTGGAGCGGGGGAAGTCTCCGCCAGCCGCGAGCTGGGAGGCCGGGTGGGGCTCCGGGAGCGATGGCCCGAGGATTCGGTTGTTTGTGTTTATTTGTTTTCCCCGATCTCTGGCAAAGATTTTGGAGACCATATGCTGGGAGAATATTCGTTTTGCTCAATGGCGGCAGGGCCGCGGCCTGACTCCCACAGTGCGATCGATTTACTAAACAAACCGAAACGTGGGTGGGGATGTTAAACAGTAACCAGCGAGCCTCAATGAAAACTGAAAGCAGGGAGGCCGCCGCCGCCCGGTGCGGTCATTTCCCGGTTCCCAGGCCCCGGGCGCTGCGGCTCCCGAAGCCCAGCCCGCCTGGACCGAGGCCGTCGGGGGCCGGGCAGCCTCCCGCGGGTGGCCGCCACAGGCCGCACGCTAGGGTCTACGCGAGGGGAGGTCCCCGGGGCTGGACGCTTCCAGCCTGAGCTGACCCCTCCTCACGTCCGGGATCCAGACTAGCCCAGCCAGTTTGGGCCACGCAGCGCATCCCGCATCTGAGGACCGTCCCCTCCGCGGTCACAGACAAGCTTCGTGTAGGCAGTGGCTACTCAAAGAAATGCTTTAGGGCAAGCGCTGACCCTAGAATACGGATCTAATTCAGAGCCCAGAGGTCCAGGAAAGGGCGGAAGTATCATTAAAGGGAATTAAATGGGTTCCTAGGGGCAGGTCTGCAGCCACACCGCTAGGGGACTGTGCCGCCACTTCCTTAAATTGCCGCTCCGGCTACGAAGCAGAACACCTCCCTGATGCTCCCAGGTGCTCATTCTGGGAAGAGAAGGCAACCCCTTCTGGATACCTGAGGTTTCCGGTCACTCCTTTTTTAAAAAAAAAAAAAAAACACATGTATGCCATGGAAAACCTCCCTTTCTCTCTCTTGCACCCGTTGGTGATTTCCAGAACCTTCTTCCTCTGGAAATGCCGGACACTTCAATGGAGCCCCAGTATCTTGGCCTGGAGTTTGAGAACTAGGAATATAGTCAGATCTGCTATTAAATCTCATCAATTTAACTTCGTAGTCGCAGCAATGAATGACTTCAGGTTCAACAAGTAATTATGCTCATGAATAAACAGTTACTTAATCCATAGGATTTTCTTTTCTAACCAGGGGTTTGGCTGTTATTTAAGACTGTAATAACAATGCTGGAGAGATCCAAGAAGTAGGTGTTTTTTATTTTTTTTTTTTTTAGGTCGGATTTACTAAACATTCTCACGAAATAACTTTCTCACGAAACTTTCTCACTAAACTTTCTCACGAAATTGTAGCACGAATAGCTACAATTAGCAATTACAATGATTATGTAAATCACCCAACGGTGTGTGGAGTATAGACCTCAGGGTAGTTTGGTCTTTAAAAATTTTTTTAGGTATTCAGAGAGTGAAAGGTGTCCAATAATATGCTAAAATGTAAATGTATAATTAGCATAAAACACAGAAAGAGTAGTGATAAGCCTTTCTCCATTCGCAAAAGCTTCAGGGACACCTTGTAACTTCGGCTCCCAGGAAAGAAATCGTATTTTAATTTAAAAAGATTCAGTTTATGTCACTGTTGATCCATAATATGAGGTTTGGTTTTACTTGATCAATGTCTGATGCTTTTGTGGTAGGATCGCTGATCTACCAGGAAATAACTGCAGACTCTGTGTTCAAAATGATGCTGACCCAATAGGCAGAACCTTTGCCAGAGAACTGAAACAACAGTTTTCTGACTAATGATGAGAGATGCTGGCTAGGCATCCAAGGAAGCAAACTGTGTCAGGTCTTAGATATTATGAAAGAGAAGTGTTGGATTTTGTTCAGTGCAAAGGAAAGCCTACTGAGCAGGGACGAGTTTCGGGGTCTAGAACAAGAGGGGAGTGGTTTTTGATGAATGAATGAGTGAAAGAGAATGAATACAAGCGAGAACAGGTAAAAGAAGGTAAAAGGCTTCCCTGTCTCCGGAGCTTGCCAGTTTTACCTGGTAAGCCAAAGGACCGAGCCTGAGAGCATCCCTTATATTGTTCCTGAAACTAATTTATCACGATTCTCCACGGCATGGGTTTAAATTGCTGAAGATGAAAAATGTCCTTATGCAGAGCTGTTCCCTGAAGTTCGGTGGGGGTGGGGCGTGGCCGCAAGGAGAAGGGAAAGATGGGGAGAATGTTTCTGAGAAAGGGTCTCAGACTATACATAAAGCTCGGTTTCGATAGCTGATGGGTGGAGGAAAATTATTCACACGTATTTATGTCTTATCTACCCTTTTAACCTAACACCAAACGCTCAAAATATGGTATCAAAAACTGCTTTACTTCACTTTCCTATTAAAAGTCTCTTTTCATCCTGTATGCATTCTTCCTTCTTGGATAACCTTTTTTAATACCATTCTTGTCTTCTTCCCAAGGTCACGCAGATTGTTTAAGAAGCCCGGTTTTCCCAAGCAGGGTCCCGATGCCATTATTTATAAACAGTAGCCTGGGAGGCCGGGGCGGGGGGGGGGGTGCGGTTCCTGGTGACCAGCGGAGGAAGCGGGCGGAGGCGTAGAAGCTGGAGAAAGATCTCGATTTTAGAGCTGATTCTTGAGAGTGAATAGGTACCTGCCACCCTCAGCTTCCGGAGCGGATTCTGGGTGTGGGGGTGGTGCGCAATTCCGTTCCCCGTGTCCTGTACTTTAAACCATCGAAGGACGAGAGGGAGCAGACGTAGTCACCTGGTTGAGGCCAGCTGGGACCTTTGCTGGCCAGGTTCAAAACCTCAATCCTCGTTTTTGCAGTAGTACCCAGGCCTCAGCGGGCCACCGACGTGTGTGGGCGCAGTCAAGGGAGATAACAGCCCAAGCTCGCTCACATTCACCTGCAGGAGAGGGATAAAAAAGAAAGAAAGAAAAAAAAGCACATACAAATTTAAATACACACACACACACACACACACACACACACACACACACCTGTCACCCTCCAGATTTGGGCGAAGCCTAGCGATATCTTCAAAGCCACTTTGCCTGTAAAAGACCTTTGATGAAATTAGAGTCGCGAGCTGTTCGGGGCGCGTCCCATTACTCAACCGCAGGAGCTGTATTTGACCTTGGGGCAAAGCAACGGATAAAACAGCCTCCGCTGAAATTTCTAAAACTCCCCGGAGGCCACCGTGATGTTTTATGCATCCTCAGGGAAGGCCAGGATTCAGGTCATTGGGCCTGCTAGGAAGAGAAGGAACGGCTGGGCCCGCTGGGTGAAAATGAGAGCGAAGGTAGTTGGAGGATCAGTCTGAAGGGCAAGCCCTAAGCGCCACGCTTTCTCAAATGACTTCCGATGTTTGGTAAGGGACCTACAATCCTTTGGCTTCTTAGCGCAGCCCAAAGCTAGCACACAGCTGCCAGCGTTGGGCTCGTTCATCTGACACTAGGCAGTCATCTCCAAAGAGGTCGGCCCCTGGGCCTGGAGCAACAGCAATCCTGCAACTCATCTCCGGGTTTGGCCCCTCACCTGCTGTCCAGTCAAGTTTTCCAACAGGCATCCATCTCTTCATAACTTGAACTTAAAGTGGTACAGAAAGAAAAGAACAAGAGGAAACAAAACGAAAAGAAGAGAAAGGCGAAGAAAAGGAAAATAGAAAAATAAGAGAATAAGGCAGGTTGAACCTCCACACAGTGACTAATTCTCTCTCATCATCCTAAAAACAAAACAAAACAAAGGGTCCAGATGTTTGCCCGACCTTTGGGTGGCAGAGTAAATCAGAAGCTTAAAAACATTAAAGCTGTAGGGACCGCACTTGGGGATCAGCCTGCCATCCATCTTGGCTCCACACTGACCCGGATTACAATTACTTTTTCTTTTGCACTCACATCACAGCTCAGGAGTACCGGTTTACACAGGAAGACCACGAGAAGGATCCCAGAGCTTTCCTACCCGTTCACAGAAAATGCAAAGGCAAGATTTCAAGTAGAACATTTAAACTGAAACTGCTCTGAGTATGTGATGCCTCTGACAGAGACACTGTGGAAATCGAACACTTAATAATTCTCAATGTCAGCACATGGTTCTTGTGCCAAAAAAGCAAATTACTAGAATGGACCTTTTCTCACCCCCCACCTCCTCTTTGTAAATTTCCTGTTGAAGTATTGATTGCCAAGGTCTCTGCAAGATTTGCAAACTTTTACAGTCATTTATGGTGCATGCAATAAAAGAGGTGATATGAGCACACTAGTTCAAGGTGTAACACAAAGATGTATTTGGTGCCCTTGGCAACTATCTGTAAGACCTGTTTGTCTTTGCAGAACACACCCTTCTCTGCAATGAACCCCTCTGTGACAAGGATTGGCCCTTTACTTTTCCAGAGCCTTGGCCCCTTAGTGGAAAGGCACACACCCTTCAAAGTAGAAAACTCAGTTTCTCAGTTTCCTTTCAAACCAATATATATATTTAAAAATTTTAAGCTTTTCTATAAGTCTGGGGAGAAGAAAGTAAGAGTCTCTTTAATTTCTTACTGTCCCTTTGCATGAAGAAAATTAAAGCAAATTGATTACTAGTGTACCATGTACTCTCTAATAGTCCCTTTATTGACAGGATCCACGGGGTCGTCAACTGTGAGAAAAATTAAAAAATTGGTATTACACTTAGCACAGTATTTTGGAATTCATGTGTTTATGTCTTTTGGGGAAAAAAAGGCAAAAACAAACAAACAAAACAAATGTTTCCTAAGAGAATATGTGACTAGTTAAATACAGATTTGTTGCTGGGTTGTAGTTTTAAATTTTTTTTTTTAAAGGAACTAATACTCAAGAGCTCTCCTACTTTGTAATTCTAGGTAGGTCTTAAATTCCTTATTAGAAACCGCATACTCCTTTACCAGTTTTACCAGTCTTTCTTTCTTTTACTTTTTCTTAAAAACAAAACAAAATAAAAAACACTGTGTAGGAGATGGGGATGGGCTATGAGGGGAAAAGAGCCGTTTTCTACAAGTTCCCACTATGAACCCATTCCCTTTT